CTGTATCTCATAGATAAAAATATTCTGCAATTTCATCTAGGACTTCCTCTTTGACCCAAGAGTGCTTTTTCATTTTTAATCTGTGCTATTGCTAATTTTTTTCATTTTTTTTCCCCGAGTTCATTAATAGAATGTTTTTACATTTCCAGATTTTTTTTAAAGATTTTTTAAACCTTTATTATTAGTTTCTGATTTTATTGCATTTTGACCAAATAATCATATTTTTGTTATTTTTATTCTTAAAAATTTTAAATGTATTTATGCCTTCATTTCCAGTGCCTGTGTAACATTGATGCAAATTGACTGTATCTGAGGCTATAATTATACCAGGCCCTAATCTGTACAGCCTGTCCATGTTGCCTTGTAAGCCTGTTTGTGAATGTGATTGAGAATTTGTAGATGGGAAGAGTAGCCTGGATTATCCAGGTGGGCCCTAAATGCAATTACAAGCGTCTGAATAAGAAGAGGCAAGATGAAACCGAAAGGTCTGAAGTTGCTGACCTGAATATTGGAGCGATGCTGCCCTGTCAACATCTCGATTTTAATACACTGAGTCTGATTTTGAACTTCCAGCCTCCAGAAAGTGAGAGAATGAATTTATGCTGTTTTAAGCTACTGAGATTGTGGGGGTTTGTCACCCCAGCCCTAGGGAATTGATATAAAAGGATGTTTTCTCTGTCAGGTTTCAGAGATTTATATATGTGCATATGATTTTACTTACTAATTATTTTGTCTAGAATTGTCTATATTCTTCCTGATTTTTTTGTCCACTTGCTTTGTCTCAGATTGAGAGAGGTGTGTTAAAGACTTTATTGTTACTGTGTTTCTATTTCTCTTAGCATCTCCTGTTGTTTAACCGAAACTTTGTTATTGGGTGCATAATATTAATGACTTTATCTTTATTCTGTATTGCAGCATTTAACATTATTAAGTGCCCTTGATATTGTTTTGGGTTTGGTCCACATACTACTAATTTTGCTTTGTTAGCCAATTCAAAAATCCTTTTCTTTTTACAAATTAGTTAAATCCGTGTATATGTGTGTGTGTGTATAATCTATAATATATTTACTATAATCTATATGCTTGGCCTCAGTTTTGTCATATCGGTTTATGCTGTATAAATTATATACAGAGAGACATACAGTCTTCAACTTACATGCTGCTTTATTTCCTGTGTTTTCTCTTTCTTTTGACATTTAGGAAATTTTCTATTTTTGTTCTAAGGTTACCTTTAGAATAATACCATTATACAATAAGCTTAATCCTCTCTTTTTGAATACTGCCTAATAGTTCCCTATTATGAACAATACTGGAATTAGCTAGTCATCTTTTATTTCTCCTTCTTTCCTGCTCCTTCAGCATCTGATGTCAAATAATAGCTTTTTTCTTCTCATTAACACCAGTAAGGCAATCAGCAAGCTTGTTCAAGTTTCCATATGCTCTTTCTCTTATCTCCCTATTGTTGACAGTCACACAGTTTCTACAATGCAGAGCACCCAACCATTGCATAATGTCCCGCTCTCATATGTCAACCATTTAGTGAGGGTACTGAAGATAAATATATAATCAAGGCCTCACCAGTGTAGATGTCAAAATTCTCAATTTCCCAGCTTACCTTGCAACCAAAACACAGGTAAGTGATTTGTTTTTGCCAATCAGACACCTACCATAAGGGATTTCGATTCAGAAGTGCACAATGGTAGGATGCAGGCTGCGTATGAAGATACCATTTTTCGCAGGAATAGTGGACAGCCAGGGCATCCAGCTTCCAGATGCAGCAGTGGGGGAGGAGCAGTGTCCCAGTGACAGGAAAGTCATACTCCTGATGAAATGGCATTGGTACTTGTAGCAGCAGTAGCTGCAGAAAATTCCAAGAACTGTTGGTGTTGATGCTTTGTAGCAGTGACATTTCCTAATCAGGCCAATCTGCAACTTTGTTTTGGATATTTTTATGGAATTAACCTTGAGACTGATTCTCTAGACTTCCTAATGTTATCATGAACTTCCTAATATTCTTTACTATATCCTTCCTCTGCTTAAATTAATCAGAGTAGATATTGTCATATATCCAAAAGCTCTGATTTGGAGCCATATATTTCCCATTATTGTTGTGAAGACTGAATGACATAACTTATGCATAAGTACCTAAAACATAATAGTGTTCAACGAGTATTAATTTCAGAGTTCCTTGAGGAGGTGGATAATTGGTACGAAGACAGACAAGCAAGAGCATATTGAAGCCTCTGAAATAGATCTGCATTCATTAAGGATATATTCAGTTCCCTTTGTTGGGGCACTGTCAAAGCCTCAAATGCTTCTTGGGATCTTTTTAGTCCATAAAACTCAGCAAAGGTTATAAACTTTACATACTACATATAAACTTTACTGGCCCTATGTAATTTGTGAGACACAGGTCAAAATGAAAATGCAGGATCTTTTTTTTTTTTAACTATTAAGAATTTCAAGATGATGACAACAGAGCCTTAAACCAAGCACAGAGCTCTCGGTGGCTTTGGAGGTTACACCTCCATGAAGCCAGCCCTGTCTACATGAAACACTTCTGATCCTCTCATCTGTTGGAATTAAGTCTAGAGACTTGGGTCCCTCTCTCTGTGGTCACTCCTAAATTCTGTTCAAGGCAAGCAAGCCACTACATTCATACACCGATTGGCCATATCAAAAGCCCTTCTAGCCAATGATACAAAATTGCATTAGCAGTACAAAAATCCCCATTCAAAAGGCAAAAGTATCAAAATATAAAAAGACAGAATGTCCAATTTAACAGAGACCAGAGAGAATGTCTAATCCAAGTCCATTGTGTTATACATGAGAAAACTGAGACCCAAAGGGGTTAACTGTCTGGCTACAGCGATACACTAATCAGGGCTAAATGGAGACTAGAACTGCTGGCTTCTGAAATCTGGTTTAAATTTGCCTCTATTTATGTGGCATCACCTCTCTTCCATTTACTCTCAGAAGCAGTGCAGTGGCCCACCGATTTTCTTCTCCAGGCGTATACATCTACTACAAAAGGGAGAATACCAAGGAAGAAAAGGAAATTCAGGACCTGTAGGACTCAAAGGGAAGAAAGAAGCTAGTAGTTGCATTAAAAACAAACTTTATTTTTTCTTGCAAAATCCATTGGTAACAATTCAAATCAAAATGCACGAATTAGCCAGGCTCAGTAGTTCACTCCTGTAGTCTCAGCACTTTGGAGGCTGAGGTGGAAGGATCTCTAGGGCTCAGGACTTCAAAGGTGTGATGAGTAATGGCTACACCACTGCACTCCAGCCTAGAGCAGAGCAAGACGCTGTAAAAAATTAACAATAAAAATAAAGTGATATTCCACTCCGCTCATTTATCCAGTCTTACTCCCCGAAAGTGATCGCTTTTATTTGGGTAAATGTAGCTTTTGGTATGTAAATAAACATTTGGGTGACTATCTTATCAGATATTTTGTGCTGGAATATAAATCTCAGTTCTATCATTTAGGTCAAGACTGGTTTCAAATATATCACCCACTGGAATTAGATAAATGTGAATTTTTTTAAAAGTGCTTTATTACAAGCAAACACTATACCCCAAAACTGAAAATTTATATGTGAATTCTCTCAGAGGCCTGTTTTGTTTTGTTTTTTTTTCTTTTAGAAGTAGTAAAATAGTCATACAAGTATCTGTATATGGAAAGTAAAACAGTATTAATGCACAGCAATTGACTTACCCTGGAATTTCCTTTGTACTTTATGTTGATTTGTTAAAGTTTTCTTTTCCTTATGGTTACCTCTGCTGCCAGAGTTAACTCATTAAGTGTTCTGGGACAGGGAAGGTGTAACACAGTAGCAACATTCCTCATTAAATTTCTATGTTTCTCAGACTAATACACAGTTTGTTTATTCGTTCTTCAATATGAAAAATATTTTTTGTTTTCAGAAATCTTTGGAAATGCAAAGCCTCAACGTATGCTACCCATTTTTCATTGTGAAGATAAAGAATATGGCAACTTGAGAGGTGGCGGGGAGTTATGTGCATTATTTACATACCAAAAGTTACATAAAATTATATCACTACTGATTGACTTTTTTGGGTTATGATACTTATTTGACCACTATTCAGTGCTCTATGAATAAGTTTAAATAATTGAGCATTGAACTGTAGAATGGCAGTAGAAAAAATTAGTTTTTCCAATAAGTTATTACCATACAATTAAAATCCTCATGTATTATACTCTATGTTAGAAACCTCTAATGAATTGTGAACCCTTTGCGATTCAATTTGTGAATTCTTTGCTATTCAAATTCACAGATTCATGAGCCAAACTAAGATACGTTTCAGTTCCCACAATATATAAAGTGTCCTCACCTGTTGGCACTGTAGCCAGGCCAACAGCTTGCGATTAGGGATCCACCTTAGCGACCAAAGCCCCGCTCTGCCGCTCACTGTCAGAACGCGCTTCCAGAGCTCAAAAGTTAAAATAAAATTTAAATTTAAATTTAAATTTAAATTTAAAAAAAAGCTCAAGAGTAGCCGGGAGGCGGTGACTCACGCCTATCATCTCAGCACTTTGGGAGGCGAAGGAGAGAGGATCGCCTGAGCTCAGGGGTTCGAGACCAGCCTGGGCAACACGACGAAACCTCGTATCTACAAGAAAATCAGCCGGGCGCGGTGGTGTCTGCCTGTGGTTCCAGCTATCTGGAAGGCTAGGGAGGAAGGCTCACCTGAGCCCAGCAGGTCGAGGCTGCGGTGACCGTGAGCGTGCCACTGCACTCTAGCCTGAGCGACAGAGTGAGACACTCCGACTCCAAAAGACTCCACTCAAAAAAAAAAAAAAAGCACTCAAGAGTGCAACTCTGCCATGATCGCTCCACCTGCAGCATGCACCGGCCTCGGTCCCGCCCCTTGATTTAGCCCCGCCTCCTACACCTTAGTGCGCCAATCCCAACGCCCCCCTCCGCCTCCGTTCAGCCAATCGTCGGTGACGTTTCCGGGGGTGGCCCTTCCCGCCAATGCGGGAGGATCTTGCTCTCCCGGCCCCGCCCCTGGCAGGAGCTACGGTCGGAAGATGGCGGCGGCCGCCGAGCTAACGCTGCTGGAGAAGTCTTTGGGGCTGAGTAAAGGGAATAAATACAGTGCCCAGGGCGAGCGGCAGGTGAGAAACGCGAGCCGCACCGAGGAGAAGCGGTGGGCGGGAGCGGGGCCTGCAGAGCCCGGGCGGGGCCCGGCCGGCCGGGGCGGGCGGAGCGAGGATGCGGCTTCCCGGCGCCCCACGTGTCTGCTTCGCGGAGCCAGCTGGCGCCTTTGGGCCTCAGCGCCTGCCGCCCTAGCTCCTGGAGGGCGGGGGGGGAACCTGCTCTGGCCGGGCCCGGCCTGAACTTCGCCTCCCGCGAAGTGCATCACCCATTAGGGGGAAACAAAACCCATTGCTAGAGGACCCTCAGAGAGCTCTTAGACCAACCTGGAAGCCCAGCGTTTGCAGTCAGTGATTGTGTTTGCCGTAATTGCACCTTTCATCGAGTTACCACGCAGCGACTCGGTGACAGCTCTCCGAGTGCCAGCTAGCGCTGTGCTGGGCCCGGGGAATACGGCGGTGACTAAGGCCAACACGCTCCCTCCCCTAAGAAAACTTGTTTTGGCCGAGTGGACCAACGTTGCAGCTATTTAAATTACAGTAGTGAAAAATGCCATGTTGCAGCCTAAATGGCTGAAAGAACATTTGGCCCAACTTAGGAGATTCAAGGAAGGCTTTTCTGAGGCCTCGAGTCAAGTGTGTGATGCGCAGAGAATGAAGGAAATGTGTACCGTATGAGATTGATGTGGTATAAGGACTTAAGATTTTCTAGGGTGTTGAAGAATATTTGTATTTTATAAAGATCGTTGTATGCTGTGGAGCGAATGTATTAGAGGAAGAAAATGGTTGTAGGAAAACTACTTTGGATGTATCTGGTTTTTTGACCCTTTGAGATATTTTTTCAGATTACCTTTGTGTTTTGTCTTTTTTTTTTTTCTGTTCTTCATTTGTTACATGTTCAAATTCTGCCTTGAAAGTGGTGGTATTGTAGTTTTTGTACATAAATTAACCTGAAGCTTAGGAAGGTTAAATGACCTGTCTAAGATCAGGTGGTGGTGGAGTAGACATTGGAGCCAAAGTGGCCTGTTTCTGTTTTTTCTGCTGCCCCCAAGCTAATTACATCCCTTCTGCCGCTACTCCCTAATTTTGTTGATATTTTCCAGGGAATATTGCCACGACATGAATATTATTTAGTATGAGAAACAGTCATCAACAACTAATTTAAAGCTTAGCAGTATGTACTAATGGAGGCAAACGTTGTTGAGTGTGGAAGAGGAAGTTAATTCTGACCTAACATCAATAAGGTTACCCACGCTTTACCTGTATGATGACCACTTATATACCCAACCCTGAATTGTACCCCACATCTTTAAAATAAGAATAGTAATTAGACCAGGGGCTGTGGCTCACACCTATAGTCCCAGCACTTTGGGAGGCCAAGGTGAGAGGATTGCCTGAGCCCATGGGTTTGAGACCAGTCTGGGCAACTTGGCTAGACTTCACCTCTACAATAAATCAAAAAATTAGCCAGGCATGGTGATGCGTGCCTGTAGTTCCAGCAACTTGGAAGACTGAGGTGGAAGGATCACCTGAGCCTACCGGATCAAGTCTGCGGTGGCCGTGAGCATGCCACTGCACTCTGACTCAAAAAAAGAAAGAAAAAAAAATTTGACAAGCTTCAAGGAAAAGCTGGTGTTTAAGGGATTAGATTTTAAAAGATATGAATATGAAACCAGTAAGTTATGAAAGATTGGTGTGTTTGGGGCAATAAGTTGTCAACTAAAGAATGACAAGATTCATAAATTTGTGAGGGAGAGCTTTATTTCTCATAAATGGCTGCAGCCTGCAGCGTGGCCATTCTGACTAACTGGCAAGCATAGTCTCCAGCCGGAAGCTGAAAACCTACTTCTAGGGAGGGAAGAATAAGACAGAAATTTATGCTGAACGATGGTTGAGTATACATACTCAATAAGCTGTAGAAGAGGTTGTAAATATTAATAAAAGAAGAAACTTGTGCATATGCAGTTGAACTTCATGCCTCTTCTTGAGACCTTTGTTAAAAAATGGCCACATTAGCATGATCCCAGAGTGGAGTTTTAAGCCCTCTGACTTCAAAGGGTGAAGCAGAGGACATGAAAAGCATTCTTCAGCATTTTCTGTAGACTGGCCAGAACCTCTGTGGTTGGTGGTCGCTTGCTAGGCAAATAAAGTAGGGGCAGCATCAGGTGGTTGGCTGATATCAGTGATGAAGTGTTTTGTTTTGTTTTTAAATCCAAAATGATTTTTTTTTTAATTATAAAGATGTGGGGTACAATTCAGGGTTAGGTATACAAACGTTGATTATGCAGGTACCATTGTTGATGAGGTATGCCCCTCCCTCCTCTAGCAGTGTTTTGAAAAGTCTAGTTTCTGTTTAGCTCTTTGGAAGAGAGCACAAGGGCAGTTAGCAAGGGAGGGCTTGTAGAGAGGCTTGTCTAGATCCTGTCATAGCTGAGAACTCAGTTTTTTTGTTTGTTTGTTTTGAGTTGGAATCTTACTCCATCGCCCAGGCTGGAGTGCAGGTGCACGCTTATGGCCACCCCAGCGTCCACCTGCTGGGCTCAGGCGATCCTTCCGCCTCAGCCTTCCAAGTAGCCGGAACTACAGGCATATGCTACCATACCCAGCTAATTTTTTGATTTATTGTAGAGATGAGGTCTCACCAAGTTGCCCAGGCTGTCCTCGAACCCATGGGCTCAGGCAATCCTCTCACCTCAGCCTCCCAAAGTGCTGGGATCACAGGCTTGTGCCACCGCCCCCGGTGAGAACTGTTTTCAAGTTTACTCTGTGGTTCCCTTGGCCAAGAGATAGTCCTTTCTGTCAGTTGCTGGGGAGGTGGTAGAATTTTATTTTTCGTCTGCAAAGTAAACGATTATGTGGAGTGATGCAGTGCAAGGTAAACTCAAAATTACAGCTTGAGACCCAACTGTGAGGGCTTTGGCGTTCAACACGTGACTTTTAATTTTATTTTAATTGAAACATTTTAGCAGTGGGCAGCTATTGAAAGTTTCTCGGTATGTGTATAGGGAAAGAGATGGGTATATGTGATAAGATTCAGCCATTTCCTGGGAAGACATCTGACATCAGTTAGCCAACAATAAGTCATGCTCTGCAGCATTACCAATAATGCTTGAAAACTGAAAGCAGTCCAGAGAGCCATCTGTAGGAGAATGTTTCATTAAATTACAGTGCACCAACACATTGAAATACAGTCACATGTCATTTAAAGACAGGGATACCTTCTGGGAAATGGGTCACTGGGAGAGTTCATTGTTGTGTTATATTTTAACAAACCTAGAGAATGTTGATTACTGCACACCTAGGCTATACAGTATGACCTATTGTTACTCAGCTACAAACAAGATTACTGTACTGAATACTGTAGTCAATTGTAGTATGCACTTATGTATCTAAATATAGAAAAAGATTTAAAAATACGATTTTATCATTTTACGGGGCCACCATCAAATGTAGTCCATGGTTGACGATGCATGACTTTAAAGACTGGAACCCTAAGATGAATGTGAAAATAGTGTGTGTCCCATGATTGTAACTGCATAAGATTTGTATACTTTAGGCTATGTAAAGGAATACTTTATTCAAACCCTGTCTCTGCCATTGCCAACCAGATGACCTTGTTTTTTTATCTGTAAAATGAGGATGAAATTACCTACTAGTCTCAGAAGACTATGTAGACTTAGAAGACTTAGTAGACTTAGTTAGATGAGAAGGTAACTTTTTTTTTTTAGTTGGCATGATGGAGTTGTGGATAATTTATTTATTTTTTACAAATAATTCTCTTTAGACTTCATCATCCCCCCAACTCGCTCCCCCCAACACTCAGCAAATGTGTCGTTTTATTTTATTTTTACAAAGTATAGCATACAGTCAAGGAACAGAACATTACCAGCACCACCAATGGGTTTCATGTTGTTTTCTTTCAATAGGTGTTTTAAGTGGAAGTCATTAGCAATCTTAAAGGCTGTGGTTTCATTTGAGTGTGAGAAATTCTGGGAGTTAAGTAGTGAATGGAAAGTGGAAAATACCTTTAGTTTCCTCCTTTACCTCTTAGGAGGTAACCTTTGAATCGGTATCTAAAGATTGTTAATCTTCCTGTATACTTCACCATGTCCTGTTGATACAGATGTGAATATGGAAGTGCCCTGCAAAGTATAAATCATATAGAGTGCAAAATACTATTTTATGACTGTAAAGAGCAGCAATCTTCCCTAGAAAATTCTGTTTTTGTTTGCTTAGGTCGTTTAGATTGTATACTTGTTATTTTTGTTTGGTCAGTCTTCCCATTGAATGATATTTTACATTTTCCTTGAAATTTCTCATAATGCTTTGTGCTTAGTTGTATATTAATAAAATTTAAATTAATTGGCAATTTCTTATATGCAAGTAAATCTGATCCTTTGTATTGCTGTTGTAATAGAGGAAACATAAAAAGTCGGGTTTATTCAAGTATGTTCACTTTGCTATAATAGCGTGTAGATAATCTTGATCGAAATTAATATAGTATTATTAGAATTTTCATTTTCTCATATCGTACATACACAATTATAAATTATTGTAGTAACATTATATTGATTATTGCAGTGTTATTACCAGTTTTACCATCAAACATCTGTTACCAAATGATAAATTACATAACTGCTATTTTCCTGACTTTCGTTTATATGTAATTTAGTATCTTAGAGTAAATCCTAGAGTATTTGAAAAAAGTTGAGAGATTTAATGATTACTTAGAAATTATGGTCATGATGATCTTTGTTTTTAAATTTATCTGAATGACTTTTCTTCCTTTCAAGATTCCAGTTCTTCAAACAAACAATGGTCCAAGTCTAACAGGATTGACTACTATAGCAGCTCATCTAGTCAAACAAGCCAACAAAGAGTATTTACTGGGGAATACTGCAGAAGAAAAAGCAATAGTTCAGCAATGGTTAGAATACAGAGTCACTCAAGTTGATGGACACACCAATAAAGAGGATATCCACATTCTGTTGAAGGTATGGTGACTTCTCTTTATAGGCTGAAATGCATGAACTATTAAGCAGAAACCTCTTTTCCCTGAGATTCAAAAGCTTGGCCTTTACTGTTTTTCTTCTGCCTCAGGATAGTTTGCACCTGTCAATACCTCTGCCTGGAAGCTCTACTATCTCCCACCCCTTCCCATTCAGATCTCTGCTCAGACACCCTGCCTAGGAAACTTCCTTGACTACTCTCTCAGCTAGATGAGGTTCCTTGTTCTGTGTGCCATCAGAGCACCCTGTGCTTTTCTTTCAAAACACTTGTCATAGTCGGTAATTATAATTTTGTATGACTTTTTTTTAAAAATGTGATTTCTCACTTAACAGTCCTGATTCTCTAAAAGATAAAGTATGTTCTCAGAGGCAAGAGGGAATTTGAATCTTTGAGAGTTGGTTGTAGTTTGAAAAATCTATCTGATTAATCTGAGAAAGTCTGCCTTTACCTCCCTTGAGGATCATTGCTTTATGATTTGTATTTTCTTTCTAAGGTATCAAATTTTAACAAAAGAATCTATTAATTATTTATATAATATAAAATAAATATGGCTCTAGAGTCGCCCACCAAGAATGAGAAGCATCCCACATGAAATTAGTTTTGTTAATTTATTTATCTAAAAATAAAGCAGAGTTTTAAACATTGTACAAAAGCTTTACATTTGAATGAAGCTTAAAGATCACCAAGGTAACCACATATCATTGCAGAAATCCCTTATGTTTGTTAATTTACTTCCATTATTATATAATGGCAATGTAAGTTGTATGAGAAAGTTTTTATCTCCTTATGGAAAATAGCATAAACTATATTATTGATAGATGCTATCAATAGGACTGGTAGAAAGTCAGTTTCAGGTCTTGATCCTTTATAGATCAACCATTCATTCTTAATATCTGTCATTAATGCTGATCATTCACAGGGAACCCTCTCCTCTGCCCTTTCCGTTCTCCACAGCATTTCCAGAGGGATGCAGGCCTATCTTTCCGTCTGGTGAATGTGAGATTTCTAGCAAATACAAAGTGAATATGACCATCTTGTATAGTTTTCCAAAGGAAAGAATAGTAACGAAGTACTTGATTCCAAAAGATATGAGCAGGATGTCAATGAAATGGCTTAATAGGTTAAAAAGTTGTGGTAATAGATTTGGTATTAGAAGCATCGAAGTAACTCCCCAAACATTAGCTCTGAGATACAAAAGTATTTAATTGGGAGACCTACTTAAGATGGTCCTGGTTTTGAAATGGAGCTGGGTAATTTGGTTGTCTTCCTTTCTCTGCCTTGCTCTCTTCCACAGCTTGCTCATTTGCACCTGCAGCATAAGCACCTGCAGAGCACCAGGATACAGTTCCAAGGACTGGTGGTGCATTAGACACAGTTTCTGCCCTTACAGAACTCAGATGTCTATAGAATGGATTCTAATGTGATTTTTGACCATATGAGCACAGATGACAAAAGAGTCATTTTCTGTTTTGTTTTGCAATCTTGCAATGCTGCAAGACAGCGTTGGTTTTATTTTAAAGGCAGTAAATACAAAAATTTCAGAAATACAAATAAGCTAATGAAAGACATTTGAAACATCCATAGTCCTACCAACAAAAGAGAATTGTTAATGATGCTTATGTTCAGTCATCCAACAACTCCTTTTGTGCTCTTTCCATGCTTATTTTCTTTTTGTGTATACGTGTGTGTATTTTATTTTAAAAATGAGCACCTACTAGGTATGGTAACCTGTTTTTTTGTTAACTGTTGGGAGCCAGCCACAGAGGCCCACTGAGCGTTAGGGATCAGGAAGGGCCGTTGACCCCGAGACCACTAGGATGCGTTCGGGAGCTATTGACCCCATTTCCTCCCCTTTTCTACTCAGCACTAACCAGATTAAGCTCCTGTGAGCTCAAAACATAAAAACTCTGAGACTGGGACGAACACAAGCTAACTTTAGAAGCTCATTGCTCCCATTCTTCCGCAAACTGCAGTTTTGGCTTTCACACAACTTATAATTCAAACTCGTGTCACATTTAAGAGCCTTAGTATTGGTCACAGGCTTCTGGGTCATGATCTTAGGATTTATTGAAGGTGTAAATTGTAGAATATAGTTTTAGAAGACAGCCATTTTGTTGAAAGAATGCGGCTGGGTTACTTGCAGGTAGCCCACTGTGAACTTTGGACTGGACCACATTCCAAATATTCTGGGATGGGCCACTTTCGTTTGTAAAGTAAATATTTAAGCTTCTATAGAATTGTTTAACTTAGCATAAATCAATCAGCTTGATGAAAAAGGTTTATAGAATATGTCAGTCACAGATTAGGTTATCCTTTGTTATGGGATTTTAAGATTATCATATGAAAAGGGTTTAAGGCAATCATTGATTAAGTTTTCATGGATTAAGGTTTCTGGTGGGTGGGGGACGCCCCTCCCACATCTGACTTTGTGTATAAAAGACCCGTTGTAATTCCCAATAACACACATCGCTTCTGCACTAGACCGGAGTCCAGTCTCTTTCTTTCTCTCTCTCTCTTTCTCTCTTCTTTCCCCCAATCGCCAACGCCGTCTCCACCTTTGGGGTACCCTGAACCCAGCTGGAGCTGGTCCCCAGCAGTTAACTGCTAATGTGTTATGAACATCTTTTTATGTCAATAAATGTTTTCTTTTTTTTTTTTTTGGAGTTGGAGTCTCACTCTGTCACCCAGACTGGAGTGCAGTGGCACGCTCACAGCCACTGAAGCCTCAACCTGCTGGGCTCAGGCAATCCTTCTGCTTCAGCCTTCCAAGTAGCTGGAACTATAGGCGTGTGCCACTATGCCCAGCTAATTTTTTGATTTATTATAGAGACAGGGTCTCACCATGTTGCCTGGACTGGTCTCAAACCCATGGGCTCAGGCAATCCTCTCGCCTCAGCCTCCCAAAATGCTGGGATTACAGGCATGAGCCACCACACCCAGCAATAAACATTTTCTGACACTCTCCTTTTCATTACCTGTTAGTCTTCCACCATATACAGTTGACTCTTGAACAGTACAGTAAGAGCACCAATCCCCTTAGCAGTTGAAAATTTATATTTTTGACTCCCCAAGAACTTACTAATAGCCTACTATTGACTACAAGCCTTACCCATAACATAAACAGTTGATAAACACATATGTTACATGTTATATGTATTATATACTATATTGTAGTAAAGTAAGCTAGAGAAAAGTTAAAATCTTAAGGAAGAGAAAATATGTTTACTCTTCATTAAATGAAAGTGGATTATCATAAAGATCTTTATCCTCATCCTCTTCTCATTGAGTAGCCAGAGGAGGAGGAAGAGGAGGGTTTCGTCTTACTGTTTCGGGGTGGCAGAGGTGGAAGAAAATTCCTGTATAAGTGAATCCACAGAGTTGAAACCTGAGTTGTTCAGGGTCCAACTGTAATTGTACCACAGTTTAAATTGTCTATCCCTGGATAGTTTACTAGATTCTTACTAAATATAAGAACATGTTATTATTTGTTTTCTTAAGCTAAATTCTTACACAGGAAACTGCTAGACTAAAAAGCTATACATTTTTAAGGCTATGTTGCTTATTTGTCCTCTGGAAAAGCAAACTGTTGTAGTAGAGTGAACACTTCCACAAAACTAACATGAGTATTACCCTTTTCTCCTTTACTACTGCAATTTCATTACCAAAACAAACAAACAAACAAAAAATTTCCTTTTTTTTTTTCCATAAAATTGTTAATGGTAGGGCAAGCACAGTGGCTCACGCCTATAATCCCAGCACTTTGGGAGGCCAAGGTGAGAGGATTGCCTGAGCCCACAGGTTCAAGACCAGCCTAAGCAACTTGGTGAGATCTCATCTCTACAATCAATAAATTAGCCAGATGTGGAAGTGCGCATCTGTAGTTCCAGCTACTTGGAAGGCTGAGGCAGAAGGATCACCTGATCCTAGCAGGTCAAGGCTGAGGTGGCCGGGAGTGTGCCACTGCCCTCCAGCCTGTGTGACAGAGTGAGACTCTTATTCAAAACAAAAAAACAAAAAAAACCACATTTTTAAATTGTTAATGGTTTAAATGGTGGCCCCTAATGCACTAACATGTTTGTTCTACCTTCCCCACTCAAATTTTATTTTGATTCTTCCACACCTGTCTCATCATTTGTGTCCACATTTCTTTATGTTCTTATCTGTGCCACCTCTGGGAATCCATATAGACCATTTTGAAAATGACTGTCTTTAAATGAAAACCATAAGGAAAAGAAAATATATTTATTTTCATTAAGAGGAAGTGGATCATCATAAAGATCTTCATAGTTGTCACGCTGAGTGTATATCACATGGAGTGTATGGGCAGACTCAAAGAGATTAAATGCAATTCAGCAAACATTTATTCATTACTGAACCACTGCAGGCCAGACACTTTGGAATGTTGCTATGATCTAGATGTTTATGTGCCCTAAAATTCGTATATTAATAAATCCTAACTCCCAAGGTGATGGTATTAGGAGTTGGGTCTTTAGGAAGTGATTAAATCCCGGAGGCAGAACCTTCATGAATGAAATTAATCCCCTTATAAAAGAGGCCTGAAAGAGACATCACCCCTTCTACCAGTGAAAATGCAACTGCCAGTGAACCAGGAAGTGAGACATTGACATTTGCCAGAGCCTTGATCTTGGACTTCCTGCTTCCAGAACTGTGAGAAATAAATTTCTGTTGTTTATAAGCCACCCAGTTTATGTAGTCTGTTATAGTCACCCAAACAAACAAGACAGTTGTGATTTGAGAATCAGAACAAAATGTTCTGTCTGTAGTTTAAGGAATTTTTCCAGAATAAATGCTGTTGACCACTGGGCAATGTTTTATAACTAGTCTCTAGAGGAATCTCTAATAATCTGATCTAATAATAATTCATATAACGTATTTATAAAACCTTCTAAAGACCTTCAGTGTGAATCTGTTGTCTCATTTAATTTCATATAATTTAATGTAAATTCCTGTTCTGCTAAGTTATGTGTTAACTTTAAGAGAGGCCAAAAGTTTTTCCTATCAGGAAGCTGATATATTCATGCTGGTCTGTGAGATAATACTTCTTAAAAAAGTAAAAATAAGCCGGGCTCGGTGGCTCAGCCTATAATCCCGCGCCTTTGGGAGGCCGAGGTGAGTGGATTGCCTGAGCCCACGGGTTCGAGACCTGCTTGGGCAACTTGGCGAGACCTCATCTCTACAATAAATCAAAAATTAGCCGGGCGTGGTAGCACACGCCTGTATTTCCAGCTACTTGGAAGGCTGAGGTGGAAAGATCACCAGAGCCCAGCAGGTCAAGGCTGTGGTGGCCGGGAGCTGTCATTGCACTCCAGTCTGGACGACAGAGACTCGAACTCAAAAAAAAAGGGTAAAAATAGATACATTGAACATCAAAATTAAAGATTTCTGCGCAAAGGACACAATCAATGGAGTGAAAAGGCATCCTACAAAGTGGAAGAAAATATTTGCAAATCATATATCTGATAAGGGCTTGATATTCAGAATATATAAAGAAACTCCTACAACTCAACAAAAAAACTCAATAATCTGATTTTTTAAATGGGCAAAGGACCTGAGTAGACATTTCTCCAAAGAAGATACCAGTAGCAATAAGCACATAAAAAGGTGCTAGAATCACTAATCATTAGGGAAATGCAAATCAAACTCATAATGAAATATCACCTCATATCCATTAGGATGACTACTACCCCCTCACCTCCCCCCCCAAAAAAACCAAAAACAACAAAGTAACAAGCATTGGTGAGGAGATTGTCACTCTTGTGCATTGTTGGTGGGAATATAGAATGTGTGACCACTGCAAACAGCTGAGTAGCAGTTCCTCAAGAAATTGATAGAAATTATCATTTGATTCAGCAACTTCACTTCCAAGTTTATACCTAAAAGATCCAAAGCATGGTTTTGAAGAGAGATTTGTACAGTCATGTTTATAGCAGCATTCTTCACAATAGCCAAAAGGTGGAAACAACCTGTGTCTGTTGACAAGTGAATGGATAAAATGTAATCTATACATACAGTGGAATATTGTGCAGCCTTAAAAAGGAAGGAAATTTCTGACACATGCTACAACATGGAGGAAGCTTATGTTCAGTGAAACAGACAAGTCACAAAGTTCAAATTTTCTGTGATTCCACTTCCATGCGGTATCTAGAATAGTAGCATTTATAGAAACAGAAAGTAGAATTTCCAGGACTTGGAAGGAAGTAGGTTTCCAGGGCCTAGAAGGAAGGGGAAATTGGGAATTGTTTCATGGGTAGAGTTTCTAAGATCTCTGAACAGATAGACTTTGTTGAGGAGCTTTTTATATTTTAATGGAAAAAATCTAATATGAATATGATTTACAAAATGTTTCCAAAAACAAAAAACTGAACTCTGAAATGATCATTGGTGGCACTTTGAATATCATTTTCTAATTTTTTGTGTTTAAAATAAGATTAATAATGTTTATACCATTTTTAATTAGGCTGATTGGCATATGAATTGTGGTTTTGAATGAATATTGATATTGAAGATTCAACTTACTAAATGTCAGTATTTTGTTTTCTAATAGTCTTCTAAATATTTTAAGTCATATGATATATACTTTAATTACTGTTTTTAAATTAATGTTTTTCACTTGTATGGGAGCAGGGGATAAAAATAAATTAATACATATTTTATTTGTTTTTTTCTAGGATCTTAATTCATATCTTGAAGATAAAGTCTACCTTACAGGGTATAACTTTACTTTAGCAGATATCCTGTTGTACTATGGACTTCATCGCTTTATAGTGAGTATTTGAATAGCTACTGGCTTTTTTTCTGTAGTTTTGAGAATGATGTTTTTATTGTTTTGAATTTAAAACAGATTTGCATTTTCAATTTATCAAATAAAAATGAAAGAAATTATTTTCATAAGGTATTTTTTTACCTATCTGTTTAACCTAGTTGCTTCCTGTTCCTTGATGTGCTTGATTCTCGACCTTTGCTTCTGTTCTTCAACAACTTCTCTAGCTATCCTTTGGACTTTATCATCATCCCCTGGACCCCATATTCATGCCGTTCCGCCTCTAGATCTTAATTCCAGTTCCCCATCTTTTGTGCAGCCTCTTATTTTGACTCTTCTAATCTCTAACCCCTAATCCCTATCTGATGTAATTTGACTCCTGTTTTTCCAAATCTGGATGGTTTCTTCCCACCCAACCTAGACCCACTTTTGTGTAACTTCAGCCATATCCTCTTGTTAGCATCTGTAGTTCCTTTTCTCTGCAGTCACCACCCCTTCCTTGTCCCCAGCTCTTGGCTGCTCCAAGTAAATGTCTTCATTTATCCATTCATGCTGAACTCTGTTGGAGAAATCACAGCCCCACAGCTTGCTGCCACTAAAAATTTTTCCTGTCCAATCACATCTGAGCTCTTGTTCTTATCAGCTCCTTCTTCTCCTCACAGGGAGACTTAGGCTTTTACCACTTTTCTCAAGCTCCATCCTTCTCCCTTTCCTTTTATTTTTAACCATTATTGCAGCCTTCCTCCATCGTTCAGCTATAAAATGGAGGCTGTGCGTTTGCATCCAGTCGTCCTCGGATCTGCCTGCTTGCACATCCTCATTCATCTTGTCTTTTTCTTGTCTCAGACAGGGTTGCATTGCTTTTTTCCGATGGCAATCCACTTATCTGGCCTTTCTTTTTTGAGCCAGGGGGTCTCACTCTGTTGCCCAGGCTGAAATGCTGTGGTGTGATCACGGCTCACTGTAGCCTTGACCTCCTAGGCTCAGGTAATCCTTCACCTTCAGCCTCCCAAGTAGCTGGGACTACAGACTTTTTATTTTTTGTAGAGACGAAGTCTCACTGTGTTGCCTAGGCTGGTCTTGAAATCTAGACTCAAGCAATCGTCCTACCTTGGCCTCCCAGAGTGCTGGGATTACAAGTGTGCGCAACCATGCTTCGTCAGTCTGACCTTTTAACTCAGCTCTCCACTTCCCAACTCCCACCCCTTTCTGGATCTTGTTCCAGATTTTATTTCTTTTCTTGTTCATATCTTCAATTTTGCCCTGTGTCTGGTCTATCTCTTCATCTTAAATTGTATTCCATCTTAAATTTATTTCCATTTATATAGGACTATGTTCTTGGCACTGTTGTTTATGTTGTATAACTCCTTTAATTCTATTAATTAATCCTAATAATAGTGCCCTGTGAGGTAGGCCCCATTGTACAGATGAGCTAGCTGAGGCATAGCGAGGTCAGATGTCGTCTTTGAGATCGTCCAAGTAAGGGGTGGAACCGGGTCCAGAAACCAGGCAATTTGGCTCCAGAGTTTATACTTTCTTACATATATGTTTCCGCTTAGATACTTGGCTCAGCTCCACATCACCTCAACACCTCTCTTCCCCCTGTGGGAAAAAAGAACTCATATATTTTCTGCATTCTGCACCTCAGAGATGCAGCTCCTGGATACCTCCCACGTGTGTCTCTTCTTGTGATCCTGGATGGCATTGCCCTTCTTGCAGAATTCATAATCTTTTGTTTGTCAAAAGAGGATGGACTGTAAGAGATGAGTCTGGTGGCCATTGAAGCAATCTTTTTCAGGACCATGTCCTTGTCTTTCTCCAAATATTTAAGTAGGTCCTCATTCCCTACAAGGTAAAATTTGATAGCATGGGAGTCCCTTCTTTGTTTGATTTCTGCCTCCCTTGCTAGCTTTGTTGCTGTCATTCAGCCATAACATGTACCCCTGGAGCTCGGTTGATGCTAGGTCTTTCTACTCAGCATCTTTGCATTGGTCTTTTTTGTTTCCTGGTCCCTGCCCTTATTTTCCTCCCAAATTCATTTGCATTTCATCAGGTGTCTCTCAGTTTCAACACTAATTCCTCGGTTGAAGCGCTCCCAGGCTCTTAAAGTATATAAATGCGCCTACCTCCTTTCCTTTTTGTACCTCATAGATTACCTTGGATCTGGTTTGTTTCTTTTTGTACTGTACTTCTTTAAAAATCTCTCTCTCTAAATTACAAGTTGATGGGCTAGAGATTGTAGCAGTTCATAATTCCTGGCACATTGTATAGTCAATCCTCTGTAAACTTTGAATACAAATTTTTTAAGCATGTTTCTTATACTTTTCAAGGAGTTTCATATATGTTTATTTTTTCATTATCTGTCAACCACGTAGGTTTTTACAGAGAAGGAAACTAATGCTTAGAAAGTTCGAATGATTTATGCAGAGGGTTAGAGCTCAATTTTTGGAATGGCCAAGACAAACTAAATCATCTGACTAAAGTGTATTAATGTATGGGGAAGCCCTTTGTAAACTGTAAAATACCCTAATAATTGAGGCCAGCGCAGGCCCTATCCTGTCTGTGGTTCAGTGCTGCTATCGGCCTCATAAAGCAAAGGGGAGGGTTTGTTTTCTGGGAAGACAAAGTTGTTTTCTCCTCTGAAAAGCCTCCTGCATATTTGGCTTTGCCATTTCCCAAGAATAGGAGAACAAGGATTGAGGCCTCATGAGTCTAAATTTTCAGATGAGGTTGAGAGAGGAGAAAGGTTGTAACCAGACAATTCAGAGTGATTTGTAGTTCTCTCCAGAGCTCATTGCTGTTAACTCAGCTTGTACTTCATTACAGTCATAGATTATTAAGTTAAAGATAGATAGTACCCCCCAATAATAATGTATGATACAGTGATTCTTAGTCTCCCACTCAAGCTATAATCCTTCAATTTGGATTTACTTGACTCTATTAAGAATTATTCCAGGAAGTGGCTGAAGCCTGTAATCTCAGCACTTTGGGAGGCCGAAGCTAGAGGACTGCCTGAGTCCAGTGGCTCGAGACCAGCCTGGGCAACTTGACAAGACTTCATTTCTACAATTAAAAAAAAAATAGCCCAGTGTGGTAATGAGTGCCTGTAGTCCCAGCTACTTGGAAGGCTGAGGCAGAAGGATCGCCTGAGCCCAGCAGGTCAACACTGGGGTGTCCATGAGTATGCCACTGCACTCCAGCCTGGGTGACAGAGTGAGATTTTGACTCCAAAAAAAAAAAAAGAATTATTATTCCGGGAGTGGGGGTGGGGAGATACACCTCATCAATAAGGCTCAAACCAGGTGAAATGGGGACCAAAGTGAGGCTTAAACTTTACCTACACAATGACCATTCGTATACCTAACCCTGAATTGTACCCCACATCTTTAAAATAAAATTTTAAAAAAGTAAAAAAAAGAATTATTCCTCCAAGATCTCTCAGTGATTCTGCTAAGTTCTATAATGTTATTATTGTATTGACTTAGTATGATCCTTAACTTGGCATAAAATTCTCTATTATCATAAGTTGTAAATTATTTATCGGAAGCCTACTATATACTCACACTATACTATACTTGAGAAGAACACAAAAGAAATATAAAACTGTTTTCAAGGAACTATTAATCTCATTGAAGAAATAAGGACTTTTTCATGAAAGCAATTATTGAATTAGAGAAAATGGAATCCGTTACTAGTTTCTGATCAGAATATTATGTTTTCCATTAGCGAGGCAGATAAGTAGGATGTAGAATTATGAAATTGTCAGAAAATTATCTGGATATTTCAATGGTCTTGGCTATCGAAGGGAATTTTGATTGTTTTAGAAAGCTTATCATAAGTTTGACTATAAATATTGCTTAGAAGTAGGAAGACCACATGACTTTTCATCAAAGACAACACTTTTGACTATGAGAAAAAGTCTATTGATAATTATGCTTGACCAGGCTCTGTGGCCCAGCCTGTAATCCCAGCAGTTTGGGAGACCAAGGCAAGTGGATTGCCTGAACCCGCGGGTTCAAGACCAACCAAGGCAATTTGGCGAGACCTCATCTCTACAATAAATCAAAAATTAGCCGAGCGTTAGTAGCATGTGCCTGTAGTTCCAGCTACTTGGAAGGCTGAGGCGGAAGGATCACCAGAGTCCAGCAGGTCGATGCTGGTGTGTCCGTGAATGTGCCATTGCACTCCAGCCTGGGCGACAGAGTGTGACTCCAACTCAAATTAATTCATTAATTTTTAAAAGATAATTATTCTAGGGCCAGGCATGGTGGCTTATCCCTGTAATCCCAGCACTTTGGGAGGCCAAGGCAAGAGGATCACTTAAGGCCAGGAGACCAATGTGGGCAACATAACAAAATCCTATCTCTACAAATTTTTTGTTTTAATTAGCCAGTCATAGTGGTGTTCACCTGTAGTCCTATAGGTAAAGTGGGAGGATCACCTAAGCCTAGCAGTTCTGGACTGCGGTGAGCTATCATCACACCAATACACTCCAGCCTGGGCAACAAGCAAGACCGTATCTCAAAAAAAGTAAAATAAAATAATTATGCTGGGAAAACAGGGAAGTGGAAGCAATTTTCCTCAAACTTACAAGGAATATGACTCAATTTAAACAAAATTAAGGGGACCGGGGAGGATCATGTCTTATTTCTCTTTGTACCTTTCCAGTTCTTAGCACAGTGCCTTGTGCAGCTAAATACTTATTGAGATTAGCAATCCTTAATGATCTATACCTATTTATAGTTCCGGTTTTAGTTTGTTTATCTTTATAGTGCATGTGTAACCTTTAGTTATATACTTTAATTACGAAGAAAATTTAATTGGAGCTGAAATACTTTGATCACACCAACCTCTTTTTATTCCATTCTAGGTTCAATATGTCTTAGTAGCTTTTTGAATTTAAAATGATGACGTGACCCAATTTACCTTATTTCAAAATGAAAAAAAGCCTCCAAGGTAAAGAGGATTTGCTGTTAAAGTATCTAAGCATCTCTCTCCTGGTGGCAAACCTGTAGTCTTTCAACTTGGGGGAGTCCATACTTGCTTTTAGTGAGACATGGCTGCCTGGTAGAGGGCTATAAGAACAGTTTATGTCTGAAAACCACAATAGCAAACTTACTGGCATTTTTTGAACACATATTTACATGAGATGTTTTGATATTATTTCACGTTTTAAAGCTTTATATTAGGAAAAATGTCATGTTATTCTATGTGTGATAACTGCCAGCAGGCTAGTAAATGTCTATCAGGATCCACAATTTATCTGACTTTCTGTAGCATTGAGCTGTTATTAAAGAGAGCATTTCTCCCATTTAATTTTTTTAAAAAAAGCGATGATAATGAAGTGTAACTCTTAAAACCAAGTGTATAAGTGTATATTGACATTTTCCTTTCTTCTGACTTAGGCAGGTCATGTGGTAGGGAAAGAAAATGCTCTGAAAAGGAGAAATTTGTGTGGAATTTCTTTGCCAACAAAGTAAACAAGGTCATAATTTCATAATGCAAAATATTCATGGCACCAACTACAAAGCATTTTTTTTTTTTTTTTTTTTTTTGAGTTGGAGTTTCACTCTGTCACCCAGGCTGGAGTGCAGTGGCACACTCAACGGCCACCACAGCCTCAACCTGCTGGGCTCAGGGATCCTTCCACTCAGTCTTCCAGGTAACTGGAACTACAGGCACATACCACCATGCCTGGCTAATTTTTGATTTATTGTAGAGATGAGGTCTCACTAATTGCCCGGGCTGGTCTCGAACCTGTGGGCTTAGGCAATGCTCGTACCTCAGCCTCCCAGAGTGCTAGGATTATAGGCGTGAGCCACTGTGCCTGGCTGCAAAGCTATTTAATTGTGAGTCTAGGTATTCTAGAGGGCATCTGGTTTTTCAGTCAGGTTAGAAGTGTTTCATTCAATTTTGCATGTTAAAATTAGGTTTATGTTAGCAGTGTTTAGCAATCTATATCTATTAATATTTTCTATTTTGGAATGTATATCCTTTTATATATAGTTACTAGGATATAATGATTAAAGATATCATCCTTTTCTTTTTTAAAATGATATTGAATGCAATAATATGTCAATCACTCTGTTGCCCATCCCTTTGGGTTCATACCATGAATTAAATATCCCTCCTACCCTAGTCCAAGTATAGGAAAAATAATCAGAGAAATTAACACCACCTCAAGGAGCAGTCCTCACACACTAAATCCTCCACAGGGACAGAATGATACTGTGGTGTTAAATGACATCCCTGTTAAGTTGGGTATAAACATACACTGAGGAGGAAAGAATAATTACTAGGTATTAAGTTCAGGCAGGGTAGACGTGAAGTCCAGATTGGCAGCTTGCTCATATTCGTCAAGTTCTTGTGCTTTATTTGCTTTGGCCGGGTATTTATTTTTTTCCCTCATGTATTCCTTCATCTGTCTGTTCACGTTTTTCAATACTTAACATGTAATCAGCACAGTGTACAAAACATTAGTCAAGGAACCTTGAAGTCATCAGATAATCCCACTGTATTTTGTTTCATTGTGAGCCCAATTTTAGTTGTGGCTGGGCTATTATAAGAAGATGTGGTCTTTCTTAATTGCCTTTGAAGAATATTTTATTGCCTGTCTTTGTTAAACTGCCTTTAATGTAGCTGTCCATTATCACACTAGTGACTCAACGGCTTTTTTTAAAGTGATTTCACTGGCAGTAGTCCCTATGAACAGACTGTTACTCCAGATTATTCCAGTCCTTTGTAATTTTATGTGCTGCTTTACTGTAAGATTGTTATCAACTGAAATACTTTTGTTCTCAAGTTTGGAGCACCAGTGGAGATATGTGGCTCTTTTATAAGAGAAGGAAAAAATGAAAGAAACAGCTGCAAAACAGTCCAACAGTCCAGGAACACTGACCATAAAGAATGCCCCAAAGATAGCATGGTATGGTGCCAGTTGGAAAGGTAGCAAGCCAGTGTTTCACCCTGATCTGGGTCACTTAACGTGTTTCTCATATGACTTCATGGAAAATTAGTGATTCGGAATATTAGCTGTTTAGCTTTAAAGTTCAGAGTAATTATAGAGCAACAATATAAATTAAAAGGAATTAAGTAGAAAGTGCCAGGCACCACTATGGACAGACACACTGACGTGACCAGTATGAAGTGGGAACTAGTAACTAGAACAATTGCATTGTGTTTCCTGTTGTAAGAAAGGAAAAAGAAGTTTAGCTAGAAAGAGATGATGGAAAGCCAGTGTTTAAAGTAAAATAACCCAGTGAATTCCATTTAAAAATGCCCTAAAAACCCATTAAATTTGGTGTGGAAAACAAATCTGTTCTTTTGTTTGTGTGTTCATTTGTTTGCTTATAGTAAGTTTATCTATAGAATGTCTACCTAAGAAGTGGCAGTTAACAAATCAAGGTCAGTCGTAATTATCTCAGACTCAAGGGAACAGATTCCAAGGTTTAAATGGTAAAAAGAGGTTAGAATGGTAACCAGATCTTTTTAGACAAGCTCTGTATTTCTGGCAAACATTTTCTGAGTGAAAAAATGAATAAATTTACACTTTCTAAAATAGATCATCTAAAAATACTGTAAAATGGATCATCTAGTTAAAGATTACTAGAATAAGGAAATGTTAGAAGCTTTAAAAGCTCTTGGAATAGACATTATTTTATACTATTTTATATTTTATTCTGTTAATAATCCTCAGAGTAGAGACTCCAAATATGATATTTTTAAGTTGGAGAATATTTATTTTGCTGTGTGCTTGCTGTATGTTATTATTACTGTTTTAAATAATAGACCTGGTAGCAACATATACTAGTCTTCTGTGCTAGCAAAGTGATGTTTTGAAATATAAATATTCATACACATTGTCCATTTTACCTGATTTAAAATCTGGGTGAACAACTTGAACATAAATCAAACAAACATTAGCACTTTATTGTTTGGAAATGCTTTACAGAATAGCTGAATGTAGACTTAACTTAAAATGAAAGCTCTGAAAGGACTAAGAATTTGACTTAGATTTGAATCATATTTCAGCAGCTGATGTTAAGTCAAGTTGGAATAAAACTTATTGTTACTTCTGTTTTGTCTTTTGTTTTTTACATTTTTATAGAGACGGGGGTCTTGCTGTTTTATTGCCCGGGCTAATATTGAACTCCTGGGCTCAAGTGATCCTCCTGCCTCAGCCTTCCAAAGTGCTGAGATTCAGATGTATGCCCCACACCCAGCCTCTGTTTGTTTTAACTATCAGCAAAGAAGTTTGCTGAAGTTGATTTTGAATTTTATTCATTCATTTTTGGTTTAAAAAAAAAAAACAACCTCCCACTTCCTGTTAGATTTGCAGCTGTGTTTACTACTGGTTGAACTTTTCTAAAAATCTTACATTTTTATTTGAAGTCATTGGTGAAGTTTACAGATGGTTAAGATTTAGAAAAAGAACAAAAAGCTCTTTTACAAAATATTTTGCAGAATATTTTGAACTATAGACTGATGCTCATTTTATTCCATAGATGATGGTTTTCACAGTGCCCCCTATGAAAACATCCCAGTCAGGTGGTCCTTTCAATTTGAACCTAACAGGCTAATGTAATTCTTTACATATAAAACTATAAATTCTCTTCCAATAAAAATTAACTCTTACATTACAAAACATTCTTAACCAGTTTTCTTGACTTTGTGTTATATTATGCCATGGACTGACTGTTGTAGATGAATAGTTATAGTAGTGTCTTTCTGATAAGTAGGCATAACCTCATACATCCTTAAACAAGATGAATATATAATTTGCTGTAGTAGCTTGAAAGACTTCAGTGTCTAAAACCTGAAACAATTTTTTATGAAACAGAAGCAATGAGACTGTCACTGCTAACAATTTAGGTAAACTGAGCCAACAAATGAGTCCAAATTTATTGACTGTCTTTCTTTACATTTTATTTTTAATATCCTTTTGCATTCTGTAGCAATTATTGCATACTAGAGTGATTAGTCCTTCACTTTTGCTGATCCCTTAGTGTAATATTTACCTGTAGGACAAGTACATGCTACATTTTAAAAAGCATTAGGACAGCCATCTCATAAAAAGTGCGCTCTAACGTATAGACCACTGATGGGTTGAACCACTTGTAGGGTGACTGAGTTTTCTTCTTTGTGTAAACATTCCTGTCATTGTTACAGAAACTTGCACTATCTGTTAAATAAGTGTGACTTAACAGGAGAAAGAACTAACTACCCATACATGGTCAAGTTACTACCCTGCTGGCTTACTCTTTACCTGATAACACTTACTAATTCCAAAATTTATCTTAGAGAAAAGTCTGTGGGTCTCCTGCTTTGGAATTGAAGCCCAGTGAAAAGATAAGTACCTGCAGATTTTATTGCATCTCTTTCTAGCCAAGTCTCTGGGCCTTCTTCCTAGTAAATGTGAACCACTAAATGCACCAAAGGACTGAGTTCAGCTTTAATGCAAACAGTATTTAGAAGGTGTGTTCTTGTGCATTTACTCTGCCTCCTTCATCTGAGTCATGTGCCACTAGGAATAGCCCCTCCATATATTAAGCAGTAGTCATTTAAAATGGATCTTAGTCTTTCTTGAGTAAGATTTTTCCTCAGAGTTGAGTGGAAGGCAGCAGTTGTCTACTATCTTCCTTTCCAATAAAGTAAAAAGACATACTCTTTGGGCCTCCAAATCCTCAGTTAATTTAAATTTTGCATTTGTTGAAAACTTATTTCCCTAGAAACACATCTGGTTTTGAACTGAACATAGAAGCAGTAAACAAATGGATAGCTTTTCTAAGTGGCTGAAACTTTTACTCCTACCTAAGTATATTGGCTTCTGAGAACTCTTGGGGAGGGGTTTTAATTTCTATCTCCTACCTAAGTAATATTAATTAGCTGTGCTTATGTAATGTCTGTGTTGTGTGTGTATGTTTTTAATCTCTACTTAGGTTGACCTGACAGTTCAAGAAAAGGAGAAATACCTTAATGTGTCTCGCTGGTTTTGTCACATTCAACATTACCCAGGCATCAGGCAACATCTGTCTAGTGTTGTCTTCATCAAGAACAGACTGTATACTAATTCCCACTAGAAGCTATCCATGCCTACAGAAGAACAATTAAAAATGTTTTAAATGGAAAATGTACTCTGGACAACAGGACTAATGTAAATTGATATGCAGTCATTTTTTTATTTGTTGAAGATGATAGAACTTTTAAAGTATAAATTTGTGTCCTAATGTTTTATTTGTTCTTTAGTTGAAGTTTTAAAATTTTTTTATGTAAAAATTCAACTGCTATCCAAACCCAGTTTAAATCAAGTTATAAATTAACCTTGTTTTTATAGATTACATTTATTTTAATAAAAATTGTAAATCTGTGGCTTAATCTTAAAAAAAAGATAGTCCTTTCAGTGGTTGACATATTTGGCTATTTATTAACCTCTCTTTCATTTTATATTTTAAAAATTATTTTCCCCTTATGGATATTTGTGGTAGTGTGTTAAGAACTATGACAAATTGTGCCAAGGAAACAAAGGGAAGACAGATGGATTTGTTTTCAGATATTTATGTGAGCTAGTAAATGTTATTGAAAAAATCTTTTTTGTTTCTTTCTTTCCTGTAGTCAGTATTCATTGGGGTGAAACTAACTACTGAACTGCCCTACAGGGAACTGGAATAAGATACATTCCTCTCAAGTTAATGATTCTTTTTTGTTGTTATTGGAATATGCAGAGGCCAAAAAGAGATGGTAAATTCCCTATGTCCCACTAATTTAGAATTTTTAATTACCAAATTTTTCTAAACTGAAAGCCAGTTATAATAGACTGCTATTAAAGTACTGTGTGAAGAATGGAGACACTTTATTAACAGATCTATATATTTTACAGCTCTAACTGACTGAATAAATTAGTAATCAGTTATTAAGAGCTCTTGAAGACCTTATCTGTACCAATAGTAAGAAAAATAGAGTCTCGGGGGGGCTTTGCTGTTGATGTTTTGGTACTGGTGCTGATGGATAATGATGCTAACCAGTATACAATTCAAAGTTCCAGTGGGAAGAGCAGGTACTTGAAAATATCCAGCACTTGGAGTGAGCCCTGTTTTTATCACTTCCTGTCTGTATGATCTTAAGCAAAGAGGTTAGTCACAAAAATAAAGATAACTCTAAATTAGGAAGATTAAAGGAGACAACATCTGATATATATTGCCCATCAGTAAGGTTTCCTTTTTCTTCTCTAGGCAAATCACAATTTTATGTTTGTTTGTTTATAAGTAAATGAGGATTGTAAGAGCCCCTCATTTTTGCCCTTCATGTTCCTGAATCGGGAGAGTTGCCAGGCCAAGTGCATGAGTACAGGCATACCTGGTTTGCTTTATTGTGCTTCACAGATAATCGCATCTTTTACAAATTGAAGATTTTTGACAACCCTGCTGGCAAATCTGTTAGTGCCATCTTTCCATCAGCATGTGCTCACTTCGTGTCTCTGTGTCACATTTTGATAAGTCTCACAATATTTCAAGCTCTTATTATTGTATCTGTTATGCATGATCTGTGATGAATGACCTTATATGTTGTCATTGTTATTGTATTTGGGGCACCACAAACCACACCTATACAAGACTACAAACTTACCCAATAAATGTGTGTGTTCTGACTGCTCCACCGACCAGCTGTTCCCCACCTATTTCCCTCTCCTCCGGCCTCCTCATTCCTGAGGCACAGCAGTAATTAGAGGGCCAATTAACCCTCTAAGTGTTCAAGCGAAAGGAAGAATCACACATCTCTCATTTTAAGTCAAAACCTGGAAATGATTAAACTTAGTGAGAAAGGCATATTGAAAGCCGAGTAGGTCTGAAGCTAGGCCTTTTGCACCAAACAGCTACCCAAGCTGAAAATGCAAAAAAAAGTTGTTGGAGGAAATTAAAAGTGCTACTCCAGTGAACACATAAATGATAAGAAAGCAAACCAGCCTTATTGCTGATGTGAAGAAAGTGAGGGGTCTGGATAGAAGATCAACCAGCCACAATATTCCCTTAAGCCAAAGCCTAATTCAGAGCAAGGCCCTAACTTTTTCCAACTCTGAAGGCTGAGATAAGTGAGGAAGCTGCAGAAGAAAAGCTGAAGCTAGCAGAGGCTGGTTCACGAGGTTTAAGGAAAGAAGCATCTCCATAACATTAACGCGCAAGGTGAAGCAGCAAGTGCTGATGTCGGGAAGTTTAGCCAGAAGATCTAGCTAAGATCATCAATGAATGTGGCTACACTAAACAACAGATTTTCATTGTAGATCAAACAGACTTCTGTTGAAAGAGAATGCCATCTAGGACTTTCACAGCTAGAGATAAGTTAGTGACTGGTTTCAAAGCTTCAAAGGACAGACTGACTCTTGTTAGGGACTAATGCAGTTGGTAATGTAAAGTTGAAGCCAATGCTCATCTAGCATTCCAGAAGTCCTAGGGTCCTTAAGAATTAAGTCAGATCTACTCATTCCTCTGTAAATGCCTGGATAACAGCACATCTGTTTACAGCATGGTTTACTGCAGCCTAGTGTCAAGACCTACTGCTCATAAAAAAAAAAAATTCAAGATATTACTGCTCATTGATAATGCACCTCATTATCAAGAGCTCTGATGGAGATGTTCAAGGAGATTAATGTTGTTTTCACGCCTGCTAACGCAACATACGTTCTGCAGCTCATGGATCAAAGAATAATTTCAACTTTCAAGTCTTATTTAATAAATGCATTTCATAATTCTATAGCTGTCATAGATAGTGATTGCTCTGATAGATCTGAGCAAAGTAAGTTGAAAACCCGGAAAGGATTCACCATTCTAGATGCAATTAAGAACATCTGGGGTTCATGGGGTAGGTCCGCATATCAACTTTAACAGGAGTTTGGAAGAGATGGGCTTCACGCTTCCTGAGTGACTTTGAGAAGTTGAAGACTTCAGTGGAGGAAGCTGCTGCAAATGGGGTGGAAATAGCCAGAGAACTAGAATTAGAAGTGGAGCCCAGCAACTTGGTGAGACCCCCATCTCTACAATAAATGGAAAAATCAGCCGGGCGTGGTAGCACGTACCCGTAGTTCTGGCTACTTGGAAGACAGGCAGAAGGATCGCCTGAGCCCAGCAGGTCGATGCTAGGGTGGCCGTGAGTGTGCCTCTGCACTCTAGCGTGGGCAACAGAGTGAGACTCCAACTCGAAAAAGAAGTGGGGCCTGAAGATGTGACTGAATTGCTGCAATCTCCTGATGAAACTTTAACAGATGAGGAGTTGCTTCGTAGGGATGAGCCAGGCAGCAGCAGGGTGTGAGAGGACTGGCTCCCACTTTGAAAGACATTCTACTGTGGGCAAAATAACATCCAACAGAATCGCATGCTATATAGAAGTCTTTCATGAAAGAAGAGTCACTTGGTTTGGCAAACTTCATTGTTCTTTTATTTTAAGAAATTGTCACAGCCACTACCCTGATCAGTTAGTAGCCATCCACATGGAGATAGGACCCTCTGCCAGCAAGAGGATTGACTTCCTAAAGGTCCAGGTGATCGATCATTTGCAGTTTTTAGCCATACATTATTTTTAATTAAGGTGTGTACATTTTTTAGACAGTGCTGCTCTTGCACTCTTGATAGACTACAGTATAGTGTAAATATAACTTTTCTATGTATTGGGAAACCAAAAGATGTGTGTGACTTGCCTGAATATGATATTTGCTTAATTGCAGTGATCTGGGGCTAAACCTGCAATATCTTTAAGGTGTGCCTATATAGATCAAGACAGTTTTTACAGAATTGGATTTTGCAATTTTCATTGTCCTCAGGAGCATTTTTAATTTTACAAAATGGCCTTCAAATTAAAAACTGTAAATATGAATTTGCAAGTTCAGAGACTAGAGGGTTCGAAGTAATGTGGGGCATTATTATGTGTCCCATAAGGGCAGGCACCTTTTATGCTAACCACTGGCTCTGCTGGGTCTGCTTAAACGCACCATGATAAGCTCACTGCTGCAAATTACCCCTCCTAGTGCCTCTCTTTTCTCCTGGACAGCAGAATTGAAGCAGGACAGATAGGGTCAACAGGAAACAGGCTACCCAGACTTCCCATCCCAACTATTTCACTCTTTTCCTTCATTTTAGGTCAGCTATGAGGAAAGGGCAAGAGGACAGAGAAGGAGACCACCTCTTTGCCAAGTGTTTCTTTTTCCCACTTCTACTTTGTCTCTCTCTCTTTTTTTTTTATTGAGTCTGGGTCTCACCCTGTTACCCAGGCTGGAGTACAGTGGTATGATCATGGCTCATCACAGCCATGACCTCCTGGGTTCAGGCTATCCACCTCAGCCTCCAGAGTAGCAAGGACTACAGGTGCATGCCACCATGCCTGGCTAATTTTTTTATTTTGTAGAGACAAAAGCAGCCCAGGAGACAAAAGGAGCTCAAGAGATCCTCCCACCTTGGCCTCCCAAAGTGCTGGGATTACAAATGTGAGCCACCACACCCAGCCTCTTTGTGAGTCTTCAATTCTCTGAATCCTTACATCTGCTAGGCAGTTCTTTATTGTGTACAACACTGATTCAGAAGATATTACCTGGTACTGCTGTGTACCAGAGCTTCCACCATTAACTTAGATCTTAATCAATGAGGGGATGGCAGAAAGATAAAGACCTGGCTCCTGTAGCCAAAGGCTAAATGATATTCTCAGTATCCAGATTGAAATAATCCATTTTCTCATAGGATTGCTCCTGTGGTTCTTGGGTCATTTCTGTCGGATACTTACCTGAAATGCCCTTTCCTTCTCACTTGGTAACCTCTTCAGTATTCCATTTTGTCCTATCTTCCGGGAAGTCAAGAATATCCTGACCAACAAATCTCCCCTGGCCCCAGGTTCCGGCACTAACATCACATTACTGATTTTGATTATGTCCCTTCCACCAGACTGAGAGCAGAAACTATCTTTTCTTGAGTCCATTTTGAGCTGGCCAAGGAAAGTATAAGTGTAAACACAGTCAGGTACAGCTGCCTATAGTAGAAAGACCAAATAACACCAAGGTGGGTTGTTTTTCTCATGTTAAAGTTGGGAGATAGAAGTTCCTGTCTCTGTATCTCCACACTGAGCGAGTGGTTTCCATTCTTAAGTTGAACTTAATGGTCCAATATTGATGTCAGAGCATCAATAATGTCAGACATCAAGTCTGATCAAGACCCAAAAGAAGAGGAGTCAACAAAAGGTTACTCCCATAACTGAATCTGTTCTCTTGAAGGGCCTTTTCTGGAAGCCCTAGTCATCTGTATCTGTTTACATCTCTTTAGCAACCCCGGCCAGGAGGAGGCCAGAAATGTCCTTCAGCGAGCACATTGCCACCCAGAATAAAGCTGTGCTCTGTCAATGAGGAGGAGGGAAAAGGGATACTAGGTAGGAACTAGCTGTCTCTGTTACAGTGAGTAATGCTTAAATGGGAAAGTACCTTCTGAATGCCAAATGGTCAATTGTAAAAGAATTTTTGTTAGTAAATTGCTGATATTCCATGAATCATCAATTGCAAAGATTTAGAAATAAAATAACTTTTCACTGACCACTTAACATTTCACTGACAATTGTCA